ATAAAACTTCTGCATCCAAGAATTTGCTCCTTATTGGTTTCTCCTCTCTCGCCTGCATTTGTAACTCCATTATTCAGATAACCACGCAAGAGTCAACAAAAGTGCTGGTGTTGGTTTTAAGTTTATATGCTCAATGGAAAAAAACACTAGAGGCTTGTATTTTACAAGTGATCATTAGATATAATTACACAACAATGAAAATAGGGTAGAATTCACTGTTTGGCCTGAGGCAAATTCACACTTTGGAAAATAAGTAAAAAATAAGTTTTCAAAGTCAGTTACAGGTGAGATAGTATCCAGCAGAGTTCTCTTATCTCAAAAAGTATTTTCTTATAATCTATTTTTCTAGGTCTCATTGTAATTTCTGCCACTGTAAACTTCATATTTTCTAAAAGGTTGCTTTGTGCAGGCTGCCTGTTCATGGTGGGAGAAATCAGAAATTACAGACCTAAACCCATCTGATATGCCCTATGGTGAAACCAGCTAAGCAACCAATCAGAGAACAAAACAAACACAAAATAAAATATTTTATTACCCATGATCAACTGAGTCAATTCTTTTTTTTTCTTTAATCTCTTATTGGAATTTACAACAAATATCTGTTGATATTTATTACAATCTTCTTCACAGGCCTGACTGGTTCTCAAGGTGTAGTCCTTGGCTCAGCTATGTCAATGTCACTGGGGAACTTGCTAGAAAGACAGTCTCGAGTCCCTACCTCAAATCTACTGAATCAGGAACGATGGGAGTAGGGCTCAGTGAGAGGTGTTCTAACCATCCCTTTAAATATTCAGTATACATGCTAGAGTTTGAGAACCACTGTATTAGAGTGTCCTGATTCATAAAATTTCTTTCTGGAAGACTTTTGAATTCTTTTTTTCTCTCAGAAGTGGTTGTCCCTACCTCCAAATAGCCTTTGCTTTTCCTCTTTTCTATTTCCTAAGTGTACTTTGGGGATTCCAGCAATCAAAATTAATTTAGCATCAATCTCAAATTTCCTCTGGTGATCCAGTTACTTATGATTATTTACTACTCTGATTATATATTTTAGTTTCTCAACAATTGGTATTTTCCTTCCTTACAATTGTAATAAGCATGTACGATGACGTATGTTGGACCAGATAAGGGAAGGCGCTAAGTACTTCAGAAGTTCGAGGGAATCAAGGTAGATTTGATGTAGAAATGTGGAAAATTAAATAATTAACTTTTGGAAAATGATACTATTTAGGAAAAGAAAAGGGAACAGAGGGTTTTTTCTTAGCCACTGTTCCTTTACAAGAACAGTGTGAACAGGACCTCAGCATCCTGAGTGATGTGTAGGCAGAATGCTTTGTCGCAAAGGTTTGTGCATGTGGTGTGGGCTAGGAGGGCGAGGGATTTGGAGAGGATGAGCAATGGGCTGAGAGGTTTAGCTTTTACCTGCTGACAGCAAAGGGGACTTCAGTGGTTAAGGCGGAGGTGGCATAGTGAAAGTGGCATTTTCTATAACTTAATTTTCTTTATGTATGGTCGCTTTTGCAAGGAAGATATTTTTGAGGCAGAGAAACAAGTGAGGATATTACTTAATAGTAAACCAATGAGTTATTAAAAGGTTTGAAATAAGAGGTCATAATAGGAAAGGGAAAGAGAAAAACACAAACTGACTTGGGAAAGAAGATGCATGGGAGGTTTGAATGTTTTCTTGAATAAAGTGAAATCAGGGTAAGAGCAAAATGCTAGATACAGAAGGGTGAATATAAATTTTTCCACCTTTGCTTTGAAACTAGGAAGGCGGTAGAAGTGGATGCTCCCAGAAAGCCTCCTATCTCTGTCTGCTTCCCCCTGTGGCTCTTCTTGTTCATATCTCCTTGTGCCCCAGACCCCAGTGCTATAGAAAACTCTTTCATTAATTAAAGGCTTGAGAGAGAGGGCCTGCAAGTGTGTTCTTACCTCAGTGAGGACGATCACAATTTATGTCTTGACATAAACTGTTTATAGATATCTTTATTAATTATGAAATACAAATAAAAAACTTGCCTCTACTGTTTAGAAAGTCATTGCATTAGCAATGCATGGTTAGAAGTGTTTATATGGGGGAAAGGATGCCTTTGCCCCTTAAAATACTAGTAGACTTCCCATACGCTGATTCACCCTGGCTTTGATGGCAAGGCTCAGAGTGAAAGCAGCATTTGTCTCTCTTCCCTTCCTTGGACTGCTATAGAAAGGAAGATCCCAACTGTGGCAAACTCTTAACCATCGTAGACCAAGGCAACATATTAGAAAAGGTTTGTAAAATTATATTGATTCAGATAAACAAATGAACTCAAACCTCAGTTGAAATAAAATTAAAGCTTATATTTTGGTAAGCCTCTGAAAATATTTCTAGGCTTGCAAATAAATTTGATGTAAACTGTCCATCTTTTTTATTTTAAGTATCTAAGAGATCAGATCCATGGATTATGTGTAGGAGGATATACTAAGAAGTTTATACAGATCACCCTCCCACACGCTAATCCTTCAGTAACCACAAGTTGTTGTTTTATTTTCTTCAGAATAAGGGGACTTGAGAAGGCGTGCATTTTGCCAGGATGGTCAGAGGCAGGAATGATTCACGGTCTGAGAAATGCGCTCTTGGGAATGTGAGCTCTAGAGCACTTACCTACACCAGTCACATTCTAAGATGTTTCCAAATATTACTGAATATAACTTACATCAATGCTCAAAACAAACCTTCATTTGCCTATTATATGGAGAAATTGGACCTGCGGGGAGCTTAAGCAATTAGCCCCTGGTCACACAAGAGTGGGACCTGGATTTGAACACAGGTGGCCTCATTCCATAGGCCTCTGTGCTAGAATGTCCTATACAATGTTAAGAATGCAGGCTTACTCAGCTGTATCCCAGGATGGCATCATATAAGGTTTCTGAAGAGGTGATAACCCTCCTCCTTAGCATGGTGCTCTTCTTTATAAAAACCAATTTCATATCTTCATTTTTCTGTATTCCCCTACTGGATAGCATCCATCAAAGTCCAGTGGTATTGTGAGATCTCTCCCTTTCTATGGCTCTTGTGGGCTTCCAGCTAATGTCACTAACAGCTAGTGTCCTAACTCTCTTACTCTGTCCATGGTACTCATGTTGCCTCTGCTGAGCTTCAAAGTAGACCAATTATTCACAATCTAAAGACAAAAAATGAATACTTACAGAGGTTAAGACATCCAACTAGGGTTGCAAAGAAAAGCAAAGTTTCAAAAATAATAATGACACAAGTTTCGTTGGATTCTTTTAGCTGCAGAGTTGATCATGTAAACAATCTCGCCCAGACAGGGCAAGAACGATGAACTGCTGTGCCCATGGTTTTCCCGTTTTAAGGTGATTCTCCTTGATTGGTTAATAATTATCCTGGGAGTAGAACGAAATTAACCAGCATCCTGCCCTTGGAAAGGACAAGACTTTACAGGAGCTGCCTCATTTTACTCCCACAGATGCAAGGAGGTCTCAAAAGACAGATTATTCCAACTTTTCAATCCAGGTCCATCCTTCCTTAAAATGAGAGGAGAAATAAATGCCTTCTTATTCTGATGTGCATATATTTGTCAGGCAGTCTGTACAAATTTTACAAAGTAATGAGCCATTTGTTTTAATTTTTACCTGGTGTCTTTTCATAGCCTTTCCCTATGTTATTAATTTTTATTGCTTTGCTTAAGTTTTCTATATATTAGAAAATTTAGGTCCTGTAGGTCTAATGCTTCTTAAATACAAACAAATAAAAAATAAAAATGCTTTCTAAAACTCTTTGTGATTACATTTTGTCCAGATGATTTTATTCAATCAGTTAAATCTACTGATCTTTTCCTTTCAGGCTTCTTGTTTTGGGGTTTTGCTTAGGTAAGATTTTTTTCCTTTACTATACATCAGTTCATACTATTAAAAAAATAGCCAAAAAACATCTTTCTATATTTTCCCCAAGCTACTATCCCCTTTTTTTTAACCCTTCACTCAGCAGGAGCATTTTATTTTATTTAGTTATTTTTTTACTTTGACTTCCAGGATGTTTAGTTGTGTGTGTGTGGTTCTGTCGTAAATAGCTTTTATTATTTTGAGATACGTTCCGTCAATACCTAGCTTATTGAGGGTTTTTAGCATAAAGTGATGTTGAATTTTGTCAAAGGCCTTCTCTGCATCAATTGAGATAATCATATGGTTTTTGTCTTTGGTTCTGTTCATGTGGTGAATTAGGTTTATACACTTGCGGATGTTGAACCAGTCTTGCATCCCTGGGATGAAACCTACTTGATCATGGTGGATCAGCTTTTTGATATGCTGTTGCAATTGGTTTGCCAGTATTTAATTGAAGATTTTTGCATCTATGTTCATCATGGATATTGGCCTGAAGTTTTCGTTTCTTGTTGAGTCTCTGCTGGGTTTTGGTATCAGGATGATGTTGGTCTCATAAAAAGATCTGGGGAGGATTCCCTCTTTTCAGGCTGTTTTAAATAATTTCAGGAGTGGTACCAGCTCCTCTTTGTATGTCTGGCAGAATTCAGCTGTGAACCCATCTGGACCTGGGCTTTTTTTGATTGGTAAGCTATTAATTGCTGCCTCAACTTCACCCTTGTTATTGGTCTATTCAGGGTTTCGACTTCTTGCTGGTTTAGGCTTGGGAGGGTGTAAGTGTCCAGGAATTTATCCATTTCTTCCAGGTTTACTGGTTTATGTGCATAGAGTTGTTTGTAGTAATCTCTGTTGGTGGTTTGTATTTCTATGAAATCCGTGGTGATATCCCCTTTATCATTTTTATTGCATCTATTTGATTATTCTCTCTTTTCTTTTTTATAAAGTTTAATTGACTTTACACATTACTCATGGAGTTTATCTTAAAAAATGAACAATGAAGTTTTAAGTAAATGCAGAGCCACTTTAGGTAGGTACATGACTCCTTTCCACTAAATATTTTTGTATATCAATATGACTATTGTCAGACTGCATAAATTAATTTTTTTTGCATATTTCCTCACCTTGACACTCATGGTAATGTATCCAGGTATTGGAGTTGGTGCATATTTAAGCATTTCTTGTTTCATCTGTATTGTGATCTCTTACATTTATATCTTCTCCACTGTGCTGAAGATTCCTACCACTAAAAGTCAGTCAAAAGCTTTTTCCACATGCCTTCCTCATCTCATTATTTTCACAGTTTTTATCATAACTGCTTTTTTTGTTTATTTGAAGCCACCCTCAAATACACCATCTGTTACTGACAGGCTGCTTTCTGTGATCTACACTGTGATACCTCCAGTATTTAACCCTGTATTCTACAACCTGCAGAACAAAGACATGAAACATGCTCTAATAAGGTTGTTGCGAAAAATATATAGTCAGGAAGCTTACTTCATTTAATACCTTCAAGTTCTGTCAATGAGTGCCTTACAGATCACAAGAAACTTTCCTTATTTTTAACTTGGGAAATACCAGAGAAAAGAAAGCAACATACTCACATATTTTTCCCTGAAGAAATAAATACTCAAGAGCCTAACTCACTATTTCTAAGGTCAGTTAATTGCATTACATCAGGATAACACATAGTGTTATGGTAATTATTTGGTGTTCTTCTACGACAAAGCATTTCTGCCTTTGTATTATAGCTTTCTGAAAGATTTGGTTCTGTTTAACATGATGCTTTCATCTTTGGTCTCTTAATAACCCATTTTTTTCTATTTTATTCACTGAGAACAAATAAAAAATGCTGAGGTGATTCAATGAGTACAGTATAATGCATTTGCACTACCCGGATAAAATTCACACACGACTCCCCTGAGAATCTAGCTAGTGCTGAGCAAGAACAATAGTAGGCAAAAATAACACAGTTAGCTAAGGCCATTTTAGAGGTGTGCCCATATCTGTAAACAGTCCTCAGGACACCGAAAGCAGAGGTAAAAGGATATGTTTGAGCCAAGCTCTCCAAGACAAATGGTGGTCACCCAGGTAAATAGTATTTCCAGACAAAGACCAGGCAGAGTTCTGAAAGTCTAAGAATTGTGTGTGCCTATGTGTCTGTAATTCAGAAAGGCCTTTACCTCTCCCTGTATAAAGAATAATGCTTTACATCTGATTCTGAAAAGAAGCTTGGAAATGTGTTAAAAGTTTTGCACAAGTCATTCAGTTGTGATTTTGGTTTAACCACTAGTGTCTACAAATGTGAAACCTTTTTCTTTACCTTCTATATAATCTACCTAGAGAATCTGTGTCTTATTAGAATAACTTTCTGAATTTTATATTGACTTTATTCTTATTTATCTAAGAAAAATATACAAAGATTCCTAAGATTGTTTTCGATCATATTATGCTCCTTTTTAAATCATGTTGCTAATGCTTTATTGTTCCTTGAATTAACTAGATGGCCAGATATTCATTTTTAATCACATGTTATCTTATTTATTCATGTCCCCAAATATCCTCTGGCAACTATGTTGATTTTTACTATGCCAAAACAAGATTCTAAAAATATAAATGAGGCTAAATTAAACTTTCATGATATCTCTTACACATAAAATTTTCTTTAAGTTTTCCCAGAGGGAAAATCACACAATTATTTGTTTTTTCCCTTTAAAGAACAAATATATGCTAAACATAAATATATTACTTTGATGTGTACATCTAACTATTGTCAAGGTTGAGTGGGCACAGTTGTAAAAGAGAAAAGACTGTAACCCTACCCTCAGTTAAATTTATATTGGTGAAATGTTTTTGGTTTAAATATTTAAGAAATTACATACATTTTGGAAAATCTCTTGAGATTTTTTTAGTGCCCTCCCTTTTGTTTTTTAGTAGCATCTGATATTTTATAATTATAGTCCTCTTTTTCTTATACTTTATTAGTTTTATTGATACCCAATAATTGCACATATTTATAGGGTACATGTAATATACTGATATTGATACAGACATATAATGTATAATAATCAAACTGCAATATTTTGTTTTTCTTTGTCTGCCTGAATTATTTCTACTGACTTCAAGTTCAAAATTTTTTTTCTTCTACTTGATCCAGTTTTTTGTTGAAGCTCTCAATTACATTTTTATTCCATTTATTAAATTATTTAGTTTAAGAATTTCTATTTGTTCTTTTTATGATATATGTTGGATTTCTGATTCAGATCATGATGTTTTTTCTTACTTTTTTGTATTGTTTATCTGTGTTCTTTTGTATATCACTCAGGTTCTTTCAGAGCATTCTTTTGAATTTCTTTTCAGGTATTTTATATGTTTTCTTTTCTTTGGGGTCCTTTACTGGAGACTTATTGTCTTCCTTTGTAGGTGTCATGTTTCCTTGCTTTTTTGTGTGTTTCCTTTATCCCTATGTTGGTATCTGTGCATCTCATTTAACAGATACTTCTTCTATTTTTATGGAGTAGCTTCTCTAAGGAAATACTTTTTCTTATTATATGTGTGTCTTCAATTTTGGTTGGGTAGGTTGCTTTGGCTTTGGTTCTTGGTATGCACCATACTGTGGCCACTGTACAATTTCTTCTGCTATTATCAGCGTCAGTATTTTCTGTGAATTCCTTAGTGGCTTAGGCTGCAGTTGTTTGCAAATGCTGTGACTAGCCTTTGCTGAACATGGGAACACAAGGCTGACTGGTGCTTAGGCCTTTCATGGTGTGTGTAAGTGCTAGCAGCAGTGGCAGTGAACCCTCAGTGGGCCAGCCTTTGGGCCTCTGAGTAGGGCACACAGATGCTCGCTGTAGAAGCAGCATGCTAGGCAGGCTGGCCCTCAGGCTCCTGAGTGAGCTGTGTAGGTTGCAGTGGGCTGGACATACCACTCCTCAGCCTCTGGACAGTGTGTGCAGGTGCCTACATGTGTACTTATGTGGATCTCTCATTTATCTTTTTCCCACATGAGAAGGGAAGTGCTTCCTGGCTTCTAGCCCATCCAACTGGCTGCTTTACTTCCTTTTCCATGCTGCCATCTTGAGTTTCCATACCTCGAAGGGTTCCTTTCACTTCCTTCCCAGACATGGTTCTGGGTCAACCAGAACCAGCATTGGATACAACCAGCATTCTCTCCTAGACAGTGTAGTCAACATTTGGTTATTTACTTACTATTTCAGTCCTTCTTTGTGGAATAGGTGAGTGCTGGGCACTTCTAGTTAGCCATCTTAATGACAGCTGTCCAAATTATATCAAGTGCCCTGTTTTTCTATAATATATTTTAATTACCAAGGAAAAACTGATCAAAAATCAGTTTGTTTCGAAGACTGGCAGCTAGTAAATTTTTAAGAAATAATAAAATTAGAAAATTCACTATATTAATCATCTATATTGAAATTGATTCAGGCAAGAATCAGCCATGGATGATAAAACCACTGGAAGAAGAGTTGTAAGAAAATGAAATATCTTCATAATGACAAGATTTTAACCTCAAATTATCTGTTCTGTATTTACAATAAAATGAATTGATGGTAGCCTCCTTAATCTAACTGATCAAAATTGGTATCAATAATAGTAAAATGAGTTATGTGCCTCCTGATATATTGCAATATGTAGACTACATCATCCTTGAAATATTCTCTTAAAAATATTTAAGCTGGAGTTTAATCAAGCCTGAGAGCTAACTTCCAGTTTTCAGAAAAACGGAAGATAGAAGAACAAATAATACCACATGAAAAACCACTGAACAAACAAATAATATGAGACATTCTATAAGAGACTGAAGAGACTGCTCAAAAAGTCAAAGTTTGGGGGCAAAATGACCAAGAGAGAGTCCTAGATTAAAAGAAACTAAAGATGCATTACATAGTCACAAGAACATTGAAAAGTATATGGTATCCAAGAACAACTCTCATCAAAGGGGAAAAATAACCTTTGGAGAATATAATTTTTTAAGTTACTTAAGGGTATAAACAAAATGAAAGCAGTTGGACTACATACTGTGTACAGAGATGAGAAGACTCAATAAAGGTGTTGATTCTCCGTAAGTAACTATTAACATTTTATTTGAAGTCTTAAAATAGTTCAAAATGGAACTTAAGTTTTTAAAAAATTCATATATACAACTGAACAGCCATGAAAATTAAAACAATTTTTAAGACGAAAAAGTACATAGAGATAGAAACGTGTCTATAACATTATAGTCATTGAAAGAGTAGGGCTGTTTGGAGATAGAATATGGACCAAAGGAAGAAAATGCAATCCATTCATGAATGGTGACCAAAATATGACAGAGAATAAATCATATATCACTAGAAAAGAAAGGACTAGAAAGGAAAACAATGTAGAAAAAATAGAATTAAATATTTTTTAAACCCACCTTACACTACACGTACAAAAAATAAAATTCAAATGAATTACAAACCTAAATATGCCAAAGTTCACATCCTCACTGACAAATGTTTAACTTTTATCCTTTTCATAGTAGCCATTCTAACAGGTATGAGGTGATATCTCATTGTGGTTTTAATTTGCATTTCCCTGATCTTTAGGGATGCTGAGCACTTTTTCATAGATTTGTTGACCATATGCCTTCTTTTAAGAAATAGCTATTCAGGTCCTTTGCCCATTTTTAAATTAGGTTATTTGTTTCCTTGCTATTGAGTTTAGTGACTTCTATATTTTGGATATTAACTCTGTATCAGACACATGGTTTGCAAAACTTTTCCCCTAATTCAGTTTGTCTCTTCACTTGCGAATTATTTCTATTGCTGGGCAGGAGCTTTTTAGTTTGATGCAATCCCATTTGTCTAATGCTTTTGTTGCCAATGTTTTGGGGTTCCTACCCAAGAAATCATTGCCGAGACCAAAGTCATGGAACTTTAATTCATTTTGCATTGATTTTTGTATATTGTGTAAGACAGTGTCCAATTTCATTCTTCTGCATATAGTTATCCAGTTTTCCAAAGTACTCAGCATACCACACTGTCATACTTTGAGGTATCATTTTCTCAGCCCAAACATAAGCATTACTGCTGTTATTGTAGAAGATATTTTTAGATTTTTCACATGAACAAATAAACTAAACATATTAAACAGCAGAGAGAAATTCTATTACTTCTTTTCTATCTCTTAAATTGTTTTGCACAGTCATTTATTTCTCAGTGATTTTCTTAAAAACTCCTTATCAATGTGTCAGGACATGGAATACATGGAATGAATTAAAGTTCCATGACTTTGGTCTCGGCAATGATTTCTTGTGTAGGAACCCCAAAACATTGGCAACAAAAGCATTAGACAAATGGGATTGCATCAAACTAAAAAGCTCCTGCCCAGCAATAGAAATAATTCGCAAGTGAAGAGACAAACTGAATTAGGGGAAAAGTTTTGCAAACCATATGTCTGATACAGAGTTAATATCCAAAATATATAAGTCCAAAATATGACTGTAGGAGATCAGAACACGTGACCTCAAAGTACACTTCTTGGGCAAATTTCTAGCAGGTTACTTTGAGAAACTACACACACAGTTACTTTTTTATTGTTTTAAATAAGTATATCTATAGAGAAAATCTATGTTAGTAAAAGTATCTGTATCAGGAAGAAGGCTGCTCAAAGGCAACTTTCATTATCTGATATACTTTTTATCTACATAACAAGACAAGGTGTATGCACAACACATTGCCTCCCCTCATGCTGCCATAACCTGTCAATGCTATGCTCCAGAGATCCTACCCACCAATCTAATCTATAGCTAAGCATGTTACATAATCCACAACCATATGGCCCTTCTTTGAATCTCATATTTTGTGGGACTCCTGTGTATATGAACATTATTAAATATCGTTTTTCTCCTGTTAATCTGTCTTGTGGGAATTTAATTTGTAGCCCTGTCAAACAACCTAGAAGGGTGAAGGAAAGCTATTATCCCTTCCCTACAAGTACATAGATGGTAATATACCATAAATTAAAATATAATTGTATAGAACAGTTACAAGTTTGCAAGTAGATTTTCTAGAATTCAGGAAATATTTCTATAGAAGAATCATGGCATGTATTTTCACTCTTCCAGTTTTACCTGAGCTCAATCAGCCTAAGTCTTCCAGAAGCATCCTTATAGTCCAGCAGTCAGGTTTATTGACTCATGGACGTGAAGGAGGATGCAAACCACAAGGATGGCAAGGTGTCTCATTAAATAATGTAAAAGAAAATTATTTTAAATTTGGGAAAGGGTAAAGTTAAGGTGAAATTTAAAAGAAGGAGTGATTTTACAGGCTGAAAGCAAAGAAAGCTGCTTATGAAGGGTCAACATCTGATCTGGACTCAAATGTTCTATTTCCTTAGAAACTATAAAATTAAGATACATGAGAAATTTTGTGTTCAGAAACTTTTTATCTGAAGCTCTGCTCCTGGAATAGAATATGAGGTTGTATGTCTCCGTCAGCGTGAATTAGGTACTCCCAGAAAGGGTGCCATATTTTATTCTTAGCCATATAATTAAAAACAACAAATTTTCTGATATCGAAGATTTTCAATAAGAAAGTTTCTCACTCAGTGAGAAAACAGTTCTCACTCAAAGAAGGGAGTCATTATGACAATTTACAACTGCAACATGTCCTTGGGTAAAATTATTTTCTGATATATTTACAACTGGCTTTTTGTTCCCTCGCTATTTTAGTCTGATGAACAGCCAGGCAGATTTTTTTTTTTTTTTTTTAGTTCAGAGATAATTTTAAACTTCTAGTTATATCATGCTTCATGTTACTTAATTATATTTTTAGTTACGGTCATTCTCCAATTTTATTCTGTTTGATTTGTTTTAAAGAGTTTTTTACAAATTTGTTGAACTTATTAAATAGCTGTATTTGCTAAAAGCTCTCCACGAGACAAA